TCTCTCTGCTGAGAAAACTTAAGAGGGAGGTATAAAGGTAACAGTCCAGCTTATAGACTGAGACAGACTAGGAAGAAGGAGGAGGCCATCCACTTCTCAAAGAATTGGCCAGGGAAATCCTTATCCGTAACTATAATAACACTATATATTTGTGTATAGCATTTTTTAGTTTTTTAAAAAATCCAATGATATTATCTCACTTGGTTCTCACAACCTTCTCTCTGCTGAGAAAACTTAAGAGGGAGGTATAAGGCAAAAAGTATATCTAGTCTACAGATAAAGAAACTGAAACCCAGAGACACCAGACTTCATGTAAACATGTGAATTACACCTACAAATATGGGAAACCTCCTATTACTCTGAAATGGGACACAACCAAGATAATTAACAAAAACTCAAACTCACTGCCGTCAAGTCAATTCCAACCCTCAGTGACCACCATTGGGTTTCTGAGGCTGTAAATCTTTACAGAAGTAGATTGTCCCATCTTCCTTTCACTGAGTGGCTGGTGGGTTTGAACCACTGACCCTCTTGTGAGTAGCCAAGCACTCTATCCACTACACCACCAGAGCTCCTTAACTATGAAAATGAAGGAAACTAAACAATGTTTAGACCAAGTAGAGATGCTAGTGAGGCAACTGGCTAATGCACATGGTGGCTAACTGAACTGTTGGAGGGGGCAGTCCACCCGGAGGCATCTTGGAAGAGAGGTCTGGTGATACACTCTCAAAAAATCAGCCATTAAAAATGCTATGAAGCATAGCTCTACAGTAACACACACAGGGTCACCATGAGGCATGGCTGACTAGACAGCAGCCATATACATATGTTTTGTTTTTTTCGTAGGCCAAGTTGTAAGGTGTAAAACGTTTTCCCAAAAGAAACTACCAAGGAGGGCAAAGAGCTCAGACAAGAATGTATCTGCTATATCTTGAATTCACTCTGGTCAACCAGGGCAATGTTGAACATTTATGGATGTGTGGCACTGTGGTTAAAGAATGAGGTTGCTAACCAAAAGGTTGTTGGTTCAAACCAACCAGCTGCTCCTTGGAAGAAAGATGAGGAAGTCTGCTTCCAATAAAATTTACAGCCTTGGAAACCTTAGAGGGCAGTTTTACTCTGACCTATGGAGTCACTATGAGTTGGAATTGACTCAATGGCAATAGGTTTGGGTTTGGTTTTTGGTGCTCTACCCAGATCCCCTCTTTGGGGCTGACACTGAATACTGGCTGCCAATGGCTCACAGCTGCATCCATCACTGGGAATTGTCTCACCCAAGGTCATAGCCTCTGTCGGGGGACTGCTCGCCTCCAGTGACCAGGGATGTGGGGATGCAAAGGCCCAGCCCTGCTCCAGAGAGGCCCTCATCAGATTAACTGGGGACTCCCTTGCAGCCCCATCACAAGTCAGCATCTCCCTATGTTCCATCCTGCCATTCCCTTCCTTACAAATGCATCTCCTGACTGCACTCCTGAACAAACCTTCTGGATCCAATTTTCTGTCTCAGAATCTGGTTCCAGGGAAGCTGATCTAAGATAATTTATTATGTGTATAATACCTCATATTAAAAAAATGAAGGGATGAATGAATCACCAAGTGAATTTTGTACAAGATTCTTGGAACCAAGAGAAACTTGCGAAATTCTAGACATTCTTGGACACATTAACCCCAGTTTTCTTTGCTCATTTATTCATTTACAAATTAATTTCCCTATCCATTCATCCATTCAACAATCATTTATTATTCAGTTAAAATGTACCAAGTACTGTGCAAAGGCTTGGAAATATAACAGTGAATAAGACAGATATGGTCCCTGCCATCATGATGATAACAGTCTAGGATGCTAAGGTGCTTAAACAGCCAATTTCATTGAAGATGGAGTTACACGAAGAACTCCGGAGAACAAGGAGAAATCGATGTCCCTGTAGCCCAAGATAAGGCTGATGGGGAGTGGACATGGTGAGGTGAAGAGCATGTCAGAATACATGGTGGGAGCTGCTGAAGCCTATCCTGGTCAGACCATGACTTACGTGTAGTCCCAACGGCAGTCACCACCTCACTCTCACTTCCATCATCAAGTACAGCCAACAGTGAAACTTCATATTCAGTGCCAGGCTCCAGGCCTTCAATAACATATGAGTCTTGGTCTTCTCTTAAGACAACCTGAGAATTATTCAATGCTTAGTAACAAAGTTTACTTGAATAATGGAGGAGAAAGAAAGTTTAAAATAAGGAGCAGAAAAAATACTTTTACATACACACTATTGCATTATTAGCAATGACAAACATTAATCTATGAGTGGATACATGGGTAGCAGACAGGGAAAATGATCAGGTGTGGGTAGGGAAAAGGGAATATATCTATGACAATACATAAATTTGGCAGATGATATTTCTACATATGTATTTGTATGTGCTATAAGAATGTCTGTATATATAATTCAAAGGAGGGGGCAGAAACAATTATTCTAATTGTAAATGAGAAACAACCAACATGGTGAACATAATTAATGTTACTGGATTGAACACATAAAAATATGGCTGAAACGCCAAGTGTTTTGTTATACATATTTTATGGCAATGAAAAAAAAGTACCAAAACCAAAAACTAATCTTGTTGCTATCGAGTGGATTCTGATGCATAGTGACCTGTAGGACAGAGTAGAACTGCCCCATTGATTTCCAAGGCTGTACATCTTTACAAAAGCAGACTGTTGCATCTTTCTCCCATGGAGCAGCTTGTGGGTTTGAACTGCCTACCTTTTACATAGCAGCCTAGCATTTTAAACGCTATG